GGCAACAGTGACTGATTCAAAGATGGATGTTTGCTTCACACAGAAATCATTCAACATTTCCTTAGGATTGTTGAGAGGAGAGCTCTCTCCTTTTGACCTTGAAATAGAGCTTGGGACGATACAGATCTGACGCTCCTGGAAGCTACCTTCCTGCATAGGAATAAACCCAACATGAAGGACAGCACACCTGATAGATGGAGAGAAATTGAGGCCTGGAGATATTGTGTAAGCCCCTCGAATTAGACATTCCAGAAGTAATCACTATACTAACTCATAAGTAACATGAGATAATAAATTGTCTTTCTTAAGTTAAGGTTTCTGTCATGTACCACCAAAAGAGTCCTGATACAATATTTACAGATTTTTTTCAAATGATTTCTTAAACCATAATCACCATAATTGTTGACTACCAACAGTCACTTCTGAAAGTGCCAAAGCCAACTCTTTACCTGTCCTTATATCCAAGCCCTCTGTCATGTGACTTTGCAGTTCTTCCTGCAAAATGGCAGAGTATACTTTCTGCCTTTTGACATTGAGCTTGGCCATGTGATTTGATTTGGACATTGGAACACTAGTTGATATGATGCAATCAGGAGGTTAAAAAGGGCTTGCCTTACTGGGCTTCTTTCAGTACCATTACAAGAACACACTCCAGCTAGCCTGCTGATCCAAAGAAGGTGAAAGACATGTGGAGAGTAGGCCCAGTCTGTCCCCCTCCACCCACAGCCACCAGAGGATGAGATAAAGCCACTCCAGCCAACTTGTAGACCTTAGAATAAATAACTGTTGTTATAATTTACTGGGTTTTCAGACAGTCTGCATCACTGTCTGCCCAGAGCATCACTATTGCACACAGTGTTGCGCAGATCACCCATACCACTCCCAGTATAGAAAGAAGAAATTGTTTTATGTCTCTAAGGAGACACTTCAGGTTATGCTAACAGGGAGTGAAGAAAGAGAGATTATCCAAACCAGGGATCACAAACTCTGATGCCTCTAGTGGCCAAGCAGGTAAAAAAAAAAAATAACTAAAACTCATAGAGCATACAGCACATAGCACATGCCAGGTACTGTTCTGAGTGTTTGCAAATATCGATTCATTCAATCCTCATAACAATTATTTGAGTTAGATGCTGTTGTTATCTCCACCTTACTGGGGTGAAACTGAGGTACAGAAAGGCTAAGAAACTTGCCCAAGTCATGAACAGTTTATAAATGGTAGAGCTAGCACCTTTCTGCTATAGTAAAATAGGCTAGCTAAGAAACAGGAGGAAGTGCGGGGGACTGTTTCTCCGGAGAGTCGGGCTTCACGTTCAGCAGCTCATCATCATGTGGGACTGAGAGCATTCTGAAGGGAAGCCAAAATTCTAGATTTTTAACAAATCTCCCTATTTTTAAATACTCTTTTAAATGTTCAAATGTTTCTTTTTTTTTTTTTTTTAAACACCATGAAGGTTAACCCTGTGCAGTTCAGGCCCAACAAATCACATTTAAAACTAAATTTGGTCATGACCTGCCCATTGGCACCCAGTGAGCCAAGCTTAGCAGCAGAGTTTTGTTCAGGTGGCAAATGTCCAGTATGTATATATCAAGAGATCTTCTAATGTCTTTGAAAGAGGTTTCAAAAACTTTGTCTCTAATGTTACAACAAGGCAAACAAGCATGGGGCTTCCATATTACCTTTATGTTTGTGCCTTGACACGGGCCCCACAGTCTCAAGACCTGCTGTTTGGGTCCTTGAAGTCACCATGATCTCTCTCACATCTGGAAATCTGGGCCTGGTGTTTCCTCTGCCTGGATCATCCTTCTGTCCTTTCTTTACTAGGTCTTAGTTGAATGTCTCTTCCCACAGGGAGCCTCTGACAATGACCCTCATGAATATACTAGGGAACCCTCTTGAGTGGTCTGGAGCATCATGTACCTTCCCTTAACAAAAAGTAGGTTCACCCGTATTTTGTCTGCTTTGTCAACTGAATATATTTCTTACTAGGCTAGGATCCTGGAGGGAAGTGGGCAGGACTGCTTTGTCACAACTCCTAACACATAGTAGGTACTGGAAAAAATGGTTATCAGATAAAAGAAGGAATGCACAAATGAAATCACATATATAGATCTCACAAATGTTATTGTCACTGAGTCTATAATAGACATACATGGACACACACACACACATGCGCACAAGTACCTGGATAAAGCAAGAGCCCGGTTAACTCTCTCTTCAAGGCCTAATGTGCCCAGGGCCTTCCAACTCATCCAGAACTTGAATGCATCTGCTCTCCTGCTACATTGGATAGACTTGTCTCCTGTGTCATAGCTGACATCATAGAATTTGTCCTGCTGGAAGAGGTAAGATGCCTTGGCAGAGTAGCACTTCTTAAGAAGATCCTTTTGGAAGGAAAAAAGAAAAAAGATTGTCCACTTTTAAAATACACTTGATTTCTATAACAAACACACACAAATATAATCTGTACAATATTCTATTACTTTGTGCCAAAGGTGTTTAGTCTCGTTCTGAGACTGCCCTGCATCAGAAGCAATAGGTATCTATTAACTTGGAGACACAGATTACCCATTGTGGTCCAAAGAAACTCAGAGTTGAGAATGCTAAATCCATCCTCAACAATTTTACTGATGAGTACTGAGAAGCTATGAGACAACCATGTCATCATCTGTATGATATCAAGGGGAGCCAATTTCTCAAGATAAAAAAAAATAATCTGTTTATAACTCACTCAAGGCTCTAGAAGGGGAAAAAAAAAACCTAATATATTGTATATATTTTATACAATTTCATAAGCAAAAAGTGAGGCTTTTAAAACTTCTTTTTTTCAACTCACATCTGTATTGAGAAGGTTAAAAGTGACAATAACCCAGGGATTAAAAAACCTGAGGAAAGAGCTATGGAGGAGTTAAACAAGTGCCAGCAAGTTTTAACAACCACAATATATCAGCTGCAATTCCAAAGGGTTTTTTGGGTTGGTCTCGCATTGGTTTTATTTGCAACCAAACTCAATTTGTATTTACTGACTGGTTACTTCTCACCAAGCAGTGGATGGCAACTCACCATGTCTATCACCACTTTAAAGTCTTCACTTTGATGTCAGATTATTAGAGTTTAAGCCCTGTTGTCTTCAATGTCATTTGGTATCTACAAAATCCCAGATTTTCCAGTCTGTTACACTTCCCATAATTCCCTGAGCATCTTCATTCCCAGAGAATACCTACTAGAACCATGTGTCCACCCTCCAACATAACCAGACTATTCAATGTCCCTTAACCACTGGCCATTCTCCACCTGCATCTTTGTTCATACCATTTGCTTGACCTTGTCTGTGTTTTCATATATGACATTTAAAAGAATATATGCAGTATATTTATCATTCCTGAAGTTTAATAACACCACACAGTCTTCCCTCTCTAACCAGGTCTGCCCTTCCTTTAGGTGCCATCTCAAGTTCCCTTCCCCTTCAGCTTCTTTATCTGCCCCACCCATTGGACTCACTTCTTCCCTTTATATTTGGCTGCATTTGTTGGCTTCACTCCTTCCCTGGCCCTACTCGATGAGCAGTCCACATGATTCTCTCCCTGTGGGGCAAAGCCGGTTCTTGAAAGCAGGAATCCTTTCCTACCCATGTCCGCATCCACAGAGCTTAACACCGTGTTGGGCACAGAGGACCCTCGCTAAACAATTAGGGCGACTTTGCCACTCCCCAGATTCCATATTCTCTAGCATTCCCCTGATGTGTAGAATGAACAGGATAGACACAGATACATGAACTTCTCAATGGGTCTATCTTCCAAACCTTAGCAACGCAAAACTGTCAGTGCTGTTCAGGAAGCTACAGACAAACTCCCCAGGAGCCAAAGAGGTCCTAGAAAATGATCCTTCTGAATGGGGAATGTATTAAATGTATTCATTTGACTGATCAACTTCTTGTTAAAGAATAAAATCTCAGGGTACCACATTGCAAACAAAAGCATGCATTTGCTATCTTAATAGCAATAGTGTCTTGTGTGGACACTAATCTGGATATAATGTGTTCCATTACCATGAAGCATGATTTCATACTACGTAAAAAATTATATACCAACTATAATCAAGAACTCCAAAATCCCACTCATCCATTATCCAAAATAAACTGAGTATAAAATAATAATTATAGGAATATTAGTAAGCCTTCAGCCTGGCTTTGATGGATATTATTGGTAGACACTAGGGAAGAGCTGATTGCTCTGATCTGAATATTAAGGTTGAAAAAGCCACTTAGGCTTTAAGCTACTTTAATTTTATCAGCAATCTCTCAACTCTGATCACAGCTGCCACCACTGCATCTCCCTCCCCTCAAATGTCAGGAAATTTGGTTATTGTTTCCATGGCAACTACAGCCTGACCATGCATTACAACAGTAAAAGGCTACTGCACATATTTCAAATACAAAGCCCACACACACACACACACACACACTTGCATTATGATTATAAATTTATTTTCATCAACCATAAAAGTCTCAAAAAAACACCCACAAAATTCCCAAAGCAGATGAACTTTAGACATGTCTTGGGCAAGTTTCAGTGACTTATGCTAGTGGCTGAAAGGGAGAGGAAGCCCATTCATTATCAGAAGACAAATGGCATCATCATAGGCAAATGGAGAAGAGGAGAACCAAGAAAACATATAGCAGAATGAGCGATGGGCCTGCAGGGGTGACACCGTTAATTTCATCGCACTGAAAAATCCTCCTGCCTTGGGAAGCTTTCCATAAAGAACAACTGGAGGCTTGGGATTTACTTGACTGAAAATTTTAAAAAAACTTTTCTCCGAAGTTTTTTGCTTCGCATTTTAGTTTACATTCTGGTATTAAAATTGATGAGATGTCTTTAGTTTAAGATACACATCAACTAAGGAAATATCTCCAGAGAAAACAACAATATTGGAATAAGTACAGTAAAAGTTAAGAATTTTACTTTTTAAGTGTAAAACACTTAATCTGTCATTATTGCACCATCAAAGAGAAGGACCGTGTTTGTCCTGTTATACACTTACTCCTAGCAGGACAATAAATACTAATTATGTGAATTCCAGAGACAAGTATTCAATGAGAATACCAACTGCTTTATATTGTGATATCTCAAACAGTTCTCATGAATTAGTAGACAGCGTATGAGAACTTTCACAGTGGAACGTGAAAGAATTGCAATCAAAGTAGCTTAAGCAAAAAGGGGAATTTTTACAGGCTCATATTTTTTAAAATCTAGGCATATAAATCATGATGCATAGTTGGAACCAAGATTAAATCTGGAATTTGCCTTTTTCTTCTTGTTCTAGTTTCTTCTGTATTGGCCTCCTTCCCACACAGAAAGCTGGTAAGCAGCTTGGGAACTGGGGCTTCCAGTGGGGCCCGTGAGCACAGGCGGAGGCTCTGCTGGAGAAAGATGGGGAGGGCAGAGGGGACAGGCTCTGCTGTTGGGGCTGCTACCAAGCAGCAGGCCACCGCTGGCCTCCCAACCTCAATCTTTTGTCTGAACCTTCTGCTGCCTAAACCTAGCAAGGAGCCAATTGGTAAGAGAGCCTCGGAAACGTGGTTTCCAGGAGTCAGGCCCCTTTCACAGCAAAGCAGAGGAAGGCTGAAGAACGAATTATACAGCAAAGAGAAACAGGCACGTGACAAGCACGCTGCACGAGGACAGAAACTATAACCTTCCTTTTCACTGCTTGTGTTCACAACACCTAACCTAGCACAAAACAACGCTGGCCAGAGCCAACATTTATAAAGTCCTTACTCTGTGTTAGGCACTGTAGATGTATGAGCTCATTTACATCTCAAGGTGTATTATTTTTGTCAACACCCATGGACATGGGAAGAAACTGACTGCAACACGGCGAAGTTTGGTGAATTACCTAAGATCATGTAGCTCGTAAGTGGTAGGGCTGGGCTTCAATCCAAGGCTGCCCGAATCCAAGCCCTAAGCCCTTTGCACATGACACTCTACTCCGTCTACAGTGAGCACTTCAACACGTGTGGAAGAGAGTGCCCCATAAATGCTCATGAACAGATCTTGAAGACGTTGGTGAAATGGAGAACGGCAGCAGAGAACACATCCGCTAAAGGTTGAAACACCTAATATCCCACTTCAGGCCCTTACCTTTGTCCCTATAAATATGACTTTAGGTCTTACTAGTGGCAATATCTTGTCAATGAAGCATTTTGAGATTTTTCTAAATACTTGCGACTCTGCTGATATTTAAGGATATCACTAAAAGCACACGATAAGTCAGCATGTTGTATACTTTCTTTGTCAAGATTAGTCAAGTCATCTTTGATTTCCACAGACCAGGTCAGATTCTGCAGTCTCTTTCCCAAGAATCAGTGACTACATGGGGCTGCTTTAAGCTCTCACTCCTCTCAATCACATTTTTCATCTTCCTAAACAAAAGCCCACAAAAGCTCCTCCCATATTCTGTCCCATATCACCGTTACTAACACACAAGACATTGTCTAAATTAAATGCCTTAAGAAATGGGTATATTAATAATCTTTGTACTAATTAATTCATTCCAAAATTATGTATTGAATACCTATTTTATAACAAGCACTATGATGCCAGGAGTTTGGGCATACGACCCCAGTGGAAGTACTAAAGCACCTAGGCTAACATTTGTTGACAGCATGCATAAAACTAAATTTAGGCTGGAAATAGCAGAAAGGCTTGTTGTCATCTAGAATATAAAAGTGAATTTTAAAAACAATTATACCCTCTGATATTTCTAATATTAGCTTTATTTATTTATTGAGCCAACATTTTGGGAGCCTTACTATATAGTAAGAGCTGTGCTAGGTACCGGAGCTGTAATGTCACTATCCTTAAGAAGTTTAAGGTGGAGATAGGACCAGAAAAACAGGCAATTAGAGTACAGTGTAGAACAGGGGAGAGAACAAGGTCTGAGGAGCACCAAGAAGGGTCATCTTTCACTAACTCAGAGATGTTAGATAGGGCTCTTCAGAAGAAGGAATGTGTCACCTGAGAGGTGCAAGATAAGGACTAGCTGAGTAGGAAGAGAGAAGATAAAATTAATTCAGTGTGACTGGGGCTAATTAATGAGGTAGGGCATAGCTAGGAAGGCTGTAAAGGTAAAAAATAGCCAAGTCACCAAGGATCTTAACTGCCACGGTAAGAATGATTGGTCATGGAATTTTCACAGGCTCAAGTAGCTATTGCAACTTAAACTTCATTATTGTTCTGGCAGAATTAAGTGAGAATCAGCAGATGTGGATCCTGCTTTTGATTTAGTCACTGGAGTCCGGGCTCAAAACAAGTCAGTTAACACCTTGGGCTTCATTTTTCTCATTAACCTAATGGAGATAACGATACTTGCTCTACCTACC